AGTTAGATGTCATATCTTCCCCACTGAGAATCCCCTTACAGGAAGTAAAATCATCTTTCTTCCATCCTACAAGTTAGATGTCATATCTTCCCTACTGAGAATCCCCCTTACAGGAAGTAAAATCATCTTTCTTCCATCCTACAAGTTAGATGTCATATCTTCCCTACTGGGAATCCCCCTTACAGGAAGTAAAATCATCTTTCTTACATCCTACAAGTTAGATGTCATATCTTCCCTACAGGGAATCCCCCTTACAGGAAGTAAAACCATCTTTCTTCCATCCTACAAGTTAGATGTCATATCAATTTATGTGAAAGATCAAAACCATGTGGTAGGAATGCATAATAAATAACAACTGGTTCTCTGTTTCGTGTCTGTAAAACCATGAGTAGTAAATCAAGTTACGTAGATGGTAACGTGGTTCGCGCCCTGTTACCGCTAAATGAAAATCGCACTCCGCGCTTTGTGGTCGTGGATGCATTATAAGAGTAAAGGCAAATCCCACTATTCGGTCATGAGAAGAGTAACCCGAAATTTGACTGTGGAAGTCAGTGGCTACCAATCTTTCCTTTAGTTTATAACTTCGAAATTGGTGACTTTGTAGCTTTGCGCGAAACCTAACAACATATATAACGCGTGTGTCTCGATACTCCCCAGAAGTTAAGCCACTGAGGACTGTGGAAATCAAATTATACAAGCCAAATGTACAGCTGGAAACCATAAAACAAGCTTTTCTTTGGATTACTGAAAGCAATGAATCCCAAGTATACCGTCTCCCTCCCCAGTGGCTCAGTGGTAAGTCTGGGGGTTCACACCGCAAAAAATCCGGGTTTCGATTCTCGTGATGAGCCCAACTCATTTTGTAGTTTTGTGTGTGCTTTAACAACAACAACAAAAAAAAACTCAAATGGATTGTGCCGTCAACATAGTATTTTCTACTGACTCACAGGCAATACTACGTAAAGTTCAGAATGGTTAGTCCCCAGATGGATAACAGAAAGCATCCATCACCTGGGTGTATGTGCAAGACCATGTAGAAAGCTCGCAAGAGAAGCCGGTTCATCTCTACCAGCAAAATATCGACCTTCTCTGCACTAGCAAGGTAAAAGTGGCAGTCACGAAATGTCTTCATCGACATTCAGAGTGAATGAGACCCGTATGGCTTAGCTATGAGAAGCAAAAAAAAAAAAATAGGGGCAACCGGAAGGCCACATTAATAAT